AGACACGGCTCATGGTGTTGGCGCGGCAGGGCGAGTACTCCTTGCGGCCGCCGCTCCGGAGCTGGGCCAAGAAGCAGCCGCCCACGGGCGTCTTCCCCGCCTCCTGGGTCTTTTCCAGGGCGTTCCAGTGCTGCCAGGGCGCGCAGGCCTGGGGAAGGACGGAGAGTGGGGGAGGGCGGCCCTCCCGGTCCCGCCCGTGCGCCCGCGCCGCGTCCTGCCCGCGGTGCCTACCACGATGGTGTCGTTCCAGCTGGCGACCGACGCCCCGAGGCCTTGCCGCGCCTTGAAGACCTGGAAGGTCTGGGAGCTCGCGTTTCGGGTCTCATCCCCTGCGGGCAGCGGGGGGTCGGCGCTCAGGCTGCGTCCAAGCCCGGCCCGCAGTCCCGGCCCCGCCCCTCCCCGCCCCGGGACTCACGGAGGTCGAAAAGCAGCGGGGAGCACGAGCCGCCCGCGGCGCTCCAGGGGCACAGGAACACAGCGCCCGTCTCCTCCTGGCCGCGGGCCCTGGCCCTCGGGGCGCCCACCGCGACGGCCACGCTGGGTGACAGGTGATGGGGCGCGAGTGAGCGCGCAGACCCCGCACCCTCCGGGCAGGCGGTGCGGCGCCGCGGGCCCTGTCCTCGCCCACACTGACTTCGGACAGAGACAGGCCCAGCGCGAGGGGCCGCGTGCCCATAGGCACCGAGCTCGCCGCTGCTGAAAGGGCTCCCCAGCTCGCTGGGCGCCTCCCCTCGAGTCCCAGCGAGGCCAGGCTTCCCTGCACCTGGCTTGGTTTCTTTGACTCCACTGCGCCCTTTCCGGAGAGCTAGAGAAGCGGGGTGGGGTTGGCCGAACCGGCTCAGGTGCTGACGGAGCTGAGGACCTGAGCACGTCTGCCTTGCGGAGCCCATGGCATCCACGTGTGAGGGGCACTAGCACGGCCCCGCCCAGTGCGGCAAGAACGACACCTGTCACCGGGACAGGAGCGGTGCCCACGAGCCCTCAGCTTGAGAGCAGAGAGCGGCAGGGCAGGGAAGCGCGCTGTGAGCGGAGGCGAGAGGCCCGTGCCCTGGCTCTTCCGTGCGGCGCTGAGGAGCCCCGGGGGCGGGCTGGACTCAGCCCAGGCGGCCCTTTGGCAGAGGAGACCCTGCACGGGGCTGCCCCAGACGGCCACCTGCCATTACCACTGCCCGGAAGCCCGCCTCCCAAGGTCCACGGTGAGCCACACAGGGTGATGTGGCGCCCAGGCCAGCCAGGGCGCTCGTCGTGGCACTCTGGCTCCAAGGCCGGATCAGTGGCAGCCCGGCGTGCCCTGCTGCCTCTGTGCGGAGCTCTGTGGCGCTGGTGGCGAAGTGGAGCAGAGCAGCACGGGTCTGGGGCAGACAGCTGGGACATGTGCCCCTTGGTGCCCGGCGGGATACCCCTGGGGAGCCACAGGCTTTCAGGCTTCTCTGTCCTTGCTGCAGCTTCAGGGCCCATCTGCCTCGGCACCCCTTCCCGAGGAGCCCCTCAGCATCCCTGACACCGAGCTGAGCCGCCACCCGGAGGGAGAGCCGGGGTCCTCCTCCCCAGACCCCACTCCACACCTCACCTCCCGAGAGTCTCCTTGTGGAAGTCCACCGAGAACCCAAAGTGGCTGCCGCTGGGGCCCGAGTAGGTGGTGAGCCGGGCCGCATCCAGGTTCAAGGCCCAGGCTGCAGGGGTAGCAGCAGGCCCCAGGAGCCAGAGGGCATGCAGCAGACACGACGCTCGGGCCATCTTTCTCCCTCCTCAGCCTGAGAAGGGATGGCCAGCTCACTCTCCTCCCTGTGGCTCCACCACAGGAAGTCTGTCCTTATCGGACTGGAACCAAAGCCACTTGCTGAGCAGGGGGCAGAGTGAAGGGCTCCGGGACTGCAGAGGGGATGAGGCCCTCTGGGGGCTGCTGGTAGCCCAGAGCCGTAACTCCTCCCTTTCCTGAGGGCAGTCTGTCACCAAGTCCTGTTGTTCCTGCCCTTCAACTACTCTCTGATCTAGTTGAGGGGTGATCCACTACCCCATGGTGGGCTTGGGGGAGTGCACCTGTGCGCTGGCCCGCTTACCCGTGTCCTCCCTGACCCCATCCTACAGCTCATCCGCTGCCCACTCACTGCCCAGCAGAAGGGAGAGGAAGCTGCTGCCCAGATGAGACCTGCGGCTCCCACTCTGTCTTGTGTGATAGGAGCTTATCCACTTCCTCCTCGCAGTCCTCGAGGCAGCCTGGGCCAGCCGCATGGTGGTGCAGCCTCCACCCCGAGCTGGAGCCCTGTCTCCGTGTGGCCAGGCTGGCTCAGCCAGTGTGAGGAAAGAGATGAGGAGCTGGGGATGGAGCGGAGTTACTCCAGGGTGTTCTGAGGTGAGGTGCTGTCCGTGAGCTCTCTGTCCCACCGAGACTTGACGTTGCATGGGGTCACTGTCCAGGGGAGGCCTCCCCGCTCCTTGGGGTGGCACCAGGCCTAACACACAGGCACACAACTGTTAGGGCATCTGTCACACTGTTGGTGTGTTCCTAAGATTGTGTGAAATGGACTTTTCTTTCAAAGCAAGGTCTGTGTAGCCCAGGCTGGCTTTGAACTCCCTTATGTAGCCTGCCTCAGCCTCCTAAGTAATGGGATTATAGGAATGTGCCATCATGCCCAGCTCCAAACAGGATGCTTAAAGGCAAGTTTCCTTTCTTTGTTCAGCCCCAGGGCCTAGTGAAGAGCCCAACAAGCGACAGACTGAAAAGACTGAATAAACTGCTGGGCGTGGTGGCTTGAGCCTGTAATCCCAGCACTTGGGAGGCTGAGGCTGGAGGATCACTGCCTGGGCTACAAAGTGAGTTCAAGGCCAGTTCTGAGACCCCCTGCAAAGTGCACACTTGAGCCCCTCTGCCCCTCGCCTCTGTGCCCGCCGGGCTGTGACTACACTGTGGTACCCAACTCATCAGGTCTCTGTGAAGTACTTGCTCTGTGCTCCTGGGCCTAGTGTGGAGCAGTGAGGACTGGAACATACGTCCTGCAGCACAGCAGCAGTAGGCCTGCCTGCAGAGCGTAGGAGAAAGCTCCCCACAACAGCCCAGGAAATGGGTTCTACCGGGCTTACTTTATAAACAAAAGAACTGGCGCAGCTTTTGTAAATTGCCCAAGTTTACACAGCCAGTGGGTAGCAAAACCAGGATTCCAACACAAACAGGAAGGGGCAGCAAGAGCACACAGAGGTCAAGTTTGAGGAAGGGCACCCAATGGGCTCAAATCCTTTGCGGTCCTTGAATGGCACACTAAGGAATTTCAACTTGAATCCATAGGAGATACAGAATCAAAGATTTGTTTTGTTTTTTAAGACAGGGCCTCACTTATGTAGCTCAGGCTGGCCTCAGCCTCCCAAGTGCTGGGACCCCAGGCGACAGTCACCATGCCGGGTCATAAGGACTTTGAGTCAGCGAGAGGCAGTGACTGGTTGGCTTCCAGTGTGTGGGAGTCTGCTGGCCGCCTGTGGACTGAAGGAACTGGAGGGAAAGGGCCTAGCGGGAAGGAGACGGGCTTGGCCCAGGCGCATGTCATAGGAGGAAGAGCAGTGAGGACTGGCTTGGCAGCTGGACATGAGGGGCAGGGGTACAGGTGACTGAGCTGGAGGGACAGCAGTGGGTCCACGGCAGGGCCCGAACCCCGCCTGAGCATGGTGGGGCGCTGGTGTCACATAGGGTGCCTGCTCCCTTGGGGTGGAGCTGCGCCAAGCCAGTCTGAGAGCGTCAGGTGTGATGCTGTTGGACTCTGCAGACCACAGGTCCTGTCAGGACTTGAGGTCATCAGCAGTTCTCACTGAGCAGGGTGACTTGGAGACAGAGGAACTGTTCTTCCTCTTGCCACAGCTTGACTTGTAGTCACAATTAGCAGTATCTTGCTTTGCTCATCTTCCTTGAACACATAACCAAGTGTTGACCACACACTCATTTCCATGTATGGCCCTTGAAGGCTAACGCTCGTGACAAGCAGTGGACACCATCGGGGCTGCACTTGGGTTCTTAAAAGCCAGCAACACCCAGAGGGCCAGAGTTCGATGCTAGCGGCAGGGAGGCTGCTGGAAGGCCGCGTGGCACAGAGGCAGGGTCTGACAGTCACCGAGGTGTGCACGAGGGCTCCCGGTCTCAGCGGCGCACAGCGCCCTCACTGCAGGCCCCTCCTGCTCGCCAAGCCTCGCTCTTCTCCCTAACAGACTTTCTCTCCCTGCAGAATGGGGAGCTCTGAGAAGCCAGCCCCAGGCTCCGGGTGGGTCCTTCCCTTCCGAGGAGAGAGCACAGCAACAGCAAGAGGCAGAGAAAAGCAGACCTCATGCACCTCCCTTGAAAGGCTGAGAGGGGAAATCACTGTGAACTATGGCAGCTTCTCGTGCTGAACTTCTGCCTCTTGCCACCTTGTGACGTGGATGCCCGGGCACCTCGTGGCGTGGCTCCTCACCAGGTAGTCTCCAGCACCTGTGGCATGGATGGAAGCTAAGACGCTTGGAATCTCACTGCTCTTAAATTAACCCGAGATCTACACACAGGGAACGGGAGACTGGGCAGCTGTGTGGTGACACGTTGTATGTTTACTGGATTGCAGACCGGCTCGAAGCACGGAGGCCGCAGTGTGCCAGGAGAAAGGCTGCAGAGGCCACACCACCTGGGCCATCGCTCTGGCTCAACTCAAGCAGTAGCCCCCGTGCACGGCCGAGTCCCTCTCCTGGCAGTCTGCAGCTTCAGAAGCAGGCGGAATCCCCAAGTGCCCAGCTGGTTCCCAAGAATCTCCAATCACTTCAAACAAGATGTTACTTCTAAGATGGGTGCAGCATGGAGGGAGGCTGAGGCCGGAGAATGGCCAAGTTCAAGTCTCTCATAAGTCAACCTAGACCCTGCATTGAAAGGAAAACCAAAAAGGGCTGGGGATGTAGCTCCGTGGCAGAGCGGCCTGGGTCATTTGTAACCCACAGATGAGCCCCTCCCCGACTTGAGCTGACCAGGGAGCAATCACAACAGACTCAGCCGCTACGTTTGCACAGACTGCTGGTTTATTAGAAAGCTCCTTTCTCTCATTTTACAGCACATACCGCTATCATATGCCATGAGGTTAAATACAATCTGTTACGCTTGTAAGGACAGGTTATTTTATTTTTTCTTTTCAGGTTCTAAAATCACTATTCTGGAAATGTAGTAAAACTGCCCCAGCAAGGCAGAGGTGGCCAGACTACACACTGCCCAGTCTGCAAGCTAATGGGAAGCAGCACACGTCACTACTGTACTGTGCATTACCACACGGACAGAAGAAAAGTGGGTCCCTCCCTTCTCCCAGCGCTGGCTGTTTGGAGTGCTTGCCTCCCTGGGAGACAAGGCGCTGTAGGAAGTGGGGGGCTTCTCGGCGCCGACTCCCTGCCCTGCAGAACCTGGGGGGTAAGGCAGAACACAGAGGCCTGGCTGGGGTGAGTGGAGCTCCTTTTTCCTACCAGCACACCACTCAGCCAGTGCTAGCCACGGGGTGGGGCGAGACACACCAAAGGCGTTGGGGCCTGCAACCCAAGCACCTTGGGTCAGAGAGGGGCAGGTGGGAAGCACCCTCAGCTAGCGTCCCTGACCAAGAGAAGAGGAAGAAGCCTGCTCTGCCAAATCATGCTGGGCAGAAGGCGCACAGTGTGCAGTCTAAGAGGTGCAGTGTCCGAGCAGAAGAGGAGCAGAAACCACACAGCTCTGGCCCTCTGGGCTGCTGCTCTTCAGGTCCCAGCCAACCCAAAAGGCACACGGGAGAAACTGCCAGAGGCTAAGCCCTGGGAAGGCTGAGGGATGCCCAGAGACCCTGGGCCCCGGGCGGGCCGAATCCCACTGCTTCTGGAGTGAGAAGGCTGCAGGGTTCCCTCTGTGGCGGGTCTCCTCTTTGCTGTAGGAAGCAGCAGCACCCGCCCACCAGGGAGACCGCGCTACCAGTGCCCGGAGCGGGGGCAGCACTTACTGCACAGTACGGGACATTTGATGTTTTCATGGTTCCTAACTTCGAAGAATACATGAGCTTGATAAAATATACATGCTTAGTCATTTTTGTATCCAGCAGAAAACAAAAACTTTATTTTTTTGTTTTCATTTTATAACCCTTAAAGTTTCTTAATTCAACTAGGGCAAACATATTTACACAAAGCCACCAGAACGAGGATCACTTAAAGAGCTGGATGTAAAAAATATTATTGCAGTATACTACAAATATGGAACCTTTTTATATGAGCTACAAAAAGCAGCATTTACGTTTATAGAGTTCAGTGCAATTTGTACATTAAAAAATTCTATAAATTAAGAAGGAAACATCAACACAACAGAAGATACGCCCTCCGACACTAGTGCCCGCCCTGAGGAGCACCCGGCGAAGGTGGCGCAGCCTGGTCAGGAAAATATCCTCTTTCCTGGGTTGCACAGAGGCCTCTTGGATGAGGGACTAGAGGTCTACCGCGCCAGGAAGTGGACCACGTGGCCGGCTGGGTTGCATCCGGTTCCAGATCCTATTTCCTTTCTGCTTCACCTGGGCAATGTGTCACCGAGGGACAGGGAAGGCAGGGCCCCCAGGTGGTGCAGCGTTCACGGTGGGAAGCAGCGGGGCACCAGGAACGCAGGGGCGGACGGGCCTGTGACCTCCCGGGTGCCAGAGACAGGACAGTATCTTGAGGTTCATAGAAAGGAGAAGCGTAGGATAAAAAGAGGCAAGAGGGGACTGCATGAGGGTGACGACCTGGAGGTGTCCCTGCACAGGCTGGGCAGCACTTATGGGACCTCCCTAGCTAGAGACACAGGAGAGGGAGGACAGAGAATGGACAAAGGGGGAATCCCTGATAGTAAACCCAAAGCAAACCTCACCCCCAGCCCAGCCCTGCACGCCAAAGCTTGGCTCTTTGGCTCCCAGACACTGCCCACCCAGTGCACATCACCTGGCACTCCTGGCTCCACACCCCGAGGGAACAATCTCGGGGCACCTTTCTCGGCGGGAAGCTCCCATCCCTGACTCACGTGCCGTGGCTGGGGGGGTGCTGCAGGTCTTGCCCTGAGAAGATGGGGTGCAGCAGTGGGTGGAGATGCAGGGCAGTGGCAGCTGCCGCAGCAGGCCGTGGGGCAAGCAGCGTGGGGTAGAGAGCAGCATGTGGGACAGGATGAAAGGCAAACGGCCCAGGGTGGATGGCGGAGGCGGGGATGATGTGGATGGGGTGGCTGGCAAGAAAGGTGGCAGGGTGGCCGGGGATGATAGAGTGAGTGAGGTGGGACAGGGAGATGGGCGTCAAATGCGGCTGGGGGATATGGTGCACCTGGGCCAGGGGCTGGGGATGGGCATGGGGGTGGATGCCAATGGCGGCGGCGGCGGCAGCAGCGTGGTGCTGCAGGATGGCATGCTGGACCGTGGTGATGGAGGTGGCTGAGGCTGTGGCCGGCTGCTGGATATGGATGGGCTGCAGGGCAGGGGTGGCAGGGGCCAGGGCAGCTGAGGCCGGAAAAGCCTTTACTTGCTTGGCCAGCAGCTGCTGCTGGATGTGCTGCTGCGCGGCCTGCTGGAGCTTGCTGTATTTCTCCATCTCCTCCGGGGTGAAGGTGATGGGCTGGCTCTCCAGGGGGGCCAGCGAGGCGTCCTCCGTCCCCTCAACAGACTCCACGCTGGGCTCCCCGCTGGGGGGCGCATAGCCTGGAAAGTGCTCTGAGTCGGGGGCTTCCACAGGACCCGGCTGGCTGCTGCTCTCCAGGGACTCCAGGGGGTCCCCATCGCTGGGGTCAGGGAGGTAGCTATGGGAAATGGCTGGGTCCCCAGGGTAGCAGTCAGAGTGCGCCGGGGTATCTAGCGGAGCCACAGGGTGGTCAGGAGGAGCTTCAGATTTTAGCTCTTCTGGGGTCGGGTCAGATAAGGGGCCAGCGGTGTCCCCCGTGGGGAACTGGCACCCACTCCCAGGGGGCCCCTCCTCCGGCTCTGACTGGTCTTGCTCCTCTCCCCTTTCTACCCCTGACTCCTCACACTTCCTGTTGGGCTTTCGGGTAGCTGGGAGCTTCCCTATCAGTGGAAGGACAGGCTTGCTGCCCAGAGAAGGAGGCAGCTTGGGCCCAAAGTAGCCTTGCGGCGGGTCCTTGAGCTTGTGCCCAGCCTTATTAGGGGTGGCCAGCACCTCCTCGCCCACGCTGGGTTTCCGCTCCCCTTTCCTGGACTGCACCTTCTCTAGGAGCAGTTTTGCAGTGACAGAGTTCTTATCAGCAGGGCTGCAGTCACTTTCCGACCCTCTCCCCGCACTGGCGCTGCTGCTCTGGGGCAGGCCCGACCCCTTCCGCTCATCCCCACGGCCGTCCTCCTTCTTCCCGACGCCCTCGCCCCGGCCCGGCCGGAAGTAGTGCGGGGACTGAGAGCGGTAGATCTTGGAGCGAATAAAGTCCCGGCGGCCAGGTCGCCGGCTCTCGGGGCTCTCATGGCCCCAGGATCCCTTCCTGGAGCCCGATCTCTGGGAAGGGCTGCGGGTGCTGCGGCTGCGGTCACGGCTGTAGCTGCGGCTGCGCTGCCAGCTGTGCGCGGTGGTGCTGCGGCTGCGCCGCTGGCTGCGACTGTGGCTGCTGCAGGAGCGGGACCGCGAGCGCTCCCTGGACCGGCTCCGGGACGGGCTGTGGGACCGGCTGCCGCTGAGGCTGTAGTCGTCGTCATCTTCGGAGGAGGAGTACTTGCGGCGCTTGCAGCGGCGCTTGGGGCTGGTGTAGTCCGAGTCGTCCGAGTCGCGGGAGCGCTTGGAGCGCCGGCTCGAGCGGTCGCTGTAGTCGCTGTAGCTGTCCTCCGAGTAGCTGCGCGGCCTGCTGTAGCCGCTCTGGTCGGAGGACGCGGCCGAGCTGCTGGAGTAGGAGCGGCGCGAGGAGCGGCGGCGCCCTCTGGAGCGGCTGCGGGAGCGCGTGCTGCCCGAGTCCTCCTCCTCCTCCTCTTCGTCCTCGTCCTCCTCGCTGTACTGGGACGGGGACTCCTGGCGCGGCCGGTGGGACGCGCCGCCGTCGCTGTCCTCGTCCCCGCTGCTGGGCCGGCTCCGGCGGCG